AGTTGATGGGTATGAAGCGCATAGAATCGCGATCGACGCGAAAGGAGACGGGCCCCATGGATCGGCCGCCAAGCAGCCGGCTTGGCAGAGGATTACGAATGACTTGTTTGCTGTGTCTGGGGTGAAAAGAGAGATCGCCGATGTAAAAAAAAGATGGACTAACTACAAGAGTTCCCAGAAGAAGCGAGGTAAGATAACCCATTTTCACAGTTCGCGAACTAAGTTGTTGCGATATGCGTTACTTAAAGCGAAACGTTTGGCGCGAATGGTGAGCCTACGAGAAAGCACATTTTACTCCTCCAAGTTAGTTTTTATTAGTTTTGGCGGCAGTCTTGAAGATGTGAAGTTGCCGAAGGGCGACGAGTGCTATGTTCTCAAATGTCGCAGAAGGTTATCGTCTTCTGTCAGCATCATAGGACTTCAGCCCAAGCGTGTAATCAAATGTGCAATCGTTTGAATTTCGCTCATACCAGTGTCGTGCACGAGATAATGCGCAGTTAGATGTCACTGGTTTTAACCAACGTTCGAACTTATTAACAGTACAGTGGCCGTCTGTTACGCGAAAAAAATCCAGGAGCAGCTGATCAGTCGTTTTTCTGACGAGATCCGTGCAATGTTATTTGATACTAACCACAGGTGCTGCCCTCAAGCGCAGTCAGTGTGCGACTGGAGGCGGCGTAGGAGACAAGCCCCTGAACGACATGTAGGAAAGGGTCGTGGGACTTCTGAATGTGGAGGCCATGATTGGCATCCCAGGCGCGTTCGACATTGGTGTTCCTGCAGAGGTACCTAATGGCGAGTCCTTCAGCCTGCCACTTTCCGGTAGGTTTACAGGAGGCTCGGCAAGGCACTAGCATTCCTTCAATAATGGATATCTCATAATTATTATGCTCTGTCATTATACTAATTGCATTCCTGGACCCTAGCTTAGTCAGAGAGGGTTTTACTTTATCTTTCCAATATAAATTATGTCACCTTTCCATTAAAACCCAAATTACCACACTAAAACAAAGAAAAAGTGTTTCATATGTATTATGTTTCCTAATTAAAATTTAAAATTTCCAGGCACTCCCATAACATCTGACGCTGCTAGGCCCAGATCAGTAGACCTAGTTCTTTCATTTGGTGAGTTCATAATAGATACTGGTCTGGTTCATTTAACTAGCCATGTTGCACCTTGGCATCCTGTAAACCAAACCCCTGGTTTGGGAGCACGGCCTAAAGATTTCAGTCTAGCTTGACTAATCAAATAGCTCTATATCCAAATGGTCTCGACGAGGGACTAAATTATTTGGATAAACAGGGCATAACAGTAATAATAGTTCAGGCACAGGCAAGCTGGTGAACGGTTACACTGAGAAACCTCAATGCAAGTAAATTGAAGAAACAGGACAAGCACAACAATGCACCATCATCTAATGCTGTTGCGTTTGTTCTGTTTTTTTTTTCGCTTCCCTTGTCTGAGGGTTTATCAATGGACAGAAGTGTACTATATTTTTACCGAAGATTCAGTTTTCTGGGTCAGTGCAACATGTTTCTTAATCTGTGTTCAAGATACTACCGCAGAACCAAGCACGCCTAGTTCAGTGAGGCCACGACATACAAGGTTTGCTGCCTTATCAATCATAACATTGCACATGGTGAATATACTTGTTTCATTACCTAATAAGAACTAAATCTTTTTTGCCTTCCAGCCAGGCTGATAATATTCCGGAACGCCCGCAGGGTGATGCAGGTGCGCGACTTAAGATTTTGTTGAATAATCATGCTTGCTCGACAGCCGACCACATACCCCAACAGCAGATTTTCCTAGTACTCAGCTCTATTGTTATTTCTATTCAGATGTCCACGGTGCAAGCGGAGGTGGGCTCCAGGAAAGCGGGGCCCTGCCGTGCACTTCAGGTAGCTGCAGGTCTAACGACAAACGTGAGTATAGTCCTGCTAGATTTGGATTGCAGCATGCAGCAATACAAATTTAACACTGAATACAAAAACCACACTAGATTGAATATGCAGCAAAAAACATGTACGAGAAGAAAGATCCACAGTGAATTCCATGCCAAGGCAATCTGCCATGTAACCTACAGCCTCTGAGCTGCAATGTACTAACACTCGGCCACTGATCCCCCAATTATCTCATTAACTACTTGTTTTGCTCATTCATGCATGCTTCCTACAGCTACACCTGGACATTAATTTTCAATACGAGTATCACAACGGTACCGTGAAAATGGTGCAAGGATTTTAGGTTTTCAATCACGAAGAAATTATTTTTCTCTGATGTGCAGGTAGCAAGGACGCCCCAAGCCACGAGACAATCCAGACACAGGAAGCTATTGTTGAACGCCTCGACAGGATTGTGGGCCTGCAGGAGCAGATGGTAGTACTCAAAGCATACAAGCTGAATGTTCGGTTTGAAAATGGCAAAATTGTCCCCAGGTATCAATAAAACCTCACTTAGGTTCAATAAAAATACACTGTTTCTTTAATGCACTGAAGACTCGTTTTCCTGAAGTTTCACTTGAAAACGCTGTTCACTAGCTCATTCCTGACGGCGGTGCCGGTGGCCGTGTCTCGGGCAGTGGTTGGCCTGTCGTCTTGTTCCTCTTCCTCGTCCTCAAATTCTGGAACTTTTCAGGACGCCACATTTAGCAGAACAGAAAATGAACACCTGGAAGGCTTGCAAGCACAATTTAAACTTATAACGCTGCAATAGCTGAATTAAGGTGCTGTAAGCACTCAATTATGAATTGCATTGTCACAAATCCAGATAGAGGCTCATTGAAAGTTCATAAACGAAAATAACAGTATGAAAAGGGAATTGTGGGTCTCATGTGTATACCAAGAAATAACATATGAGCGACATTAACACCCACTTTGGAAGCAGAGTGGACAACCACTCGTGCAAGGCCCTTCGTGATAATAGACCCTAGACACTAGATCAAATCACTTCTGCAACATGTACACGAGGAGCCTTATACACAAAGTCAACTCTGTTACGTCACGGCTCGGTGGTGGCGCATTGGGCGCACTTCCGGTCTGTAGCTGTGGGCAGAAATCACCATGTGGGACATGCATTCCTATGCTCTTTTGGAAGAAACAATACAAAAACCCGCATTTTCGTCAAAACACTGTGGCTAGGGCTGTACCAGAGGAGTCGGGGGAAGTTAAGGTCACTTTTTATGTGCTTTCTCCCTGCTTGCTTCGTCCGAGAATGTGAATAGGTGCCGTGAAAGAGGAAAACCAGACGCCATCGGACCACGATTACTTGTGCGGGAAGCACCTTGGGTTGATTTAGCGGATACTTGGGGTCATCAGATTTATTTGTTTTGTTTCAAGAGGAAGGAGGGAAAACCACCGAGTTGTACGGACCACCTGCGGACTACGTTCAGTGCTTCATCACGTTCAAACAGCCGCCTGATCGTTCGAACTGTCGTCTGCTCTGTCAAACGTTTCTGCCTGTTCTCGTATGCTTGTTCAAACGACAGCGTCCCGTAGACGGAACGTTGACCCGGCAATTCCGATCAGAAGTAACTAAGTCAAAAGGCCTTTAACTTTGAAGTTTGGTTGGTGTAAGTAGACTCGGTTTAAATAGTAGATACAAGGAGATGTTGATCATTGTCACCCGTGGCCATCACCCAGCAAAAAGAAAGATTTCGGGGGGGGGGGGGGGGGGGGCCTGGGCCCTATGGGCCCCCCCCCCCGAAATGTGCCTTCCATCCATCACCGACTTGTTATGCCTGATTGTTATGCCTACGTGCCTTCCATCACCGACTTGTTATGCCTGATTCAATTGGTCCGATTCTGCTTGGAATTTTTAGTATCGACGTCGACCATCTCAGCTACGGTTCACCATATTGCAGCCCGAGCGATGTCATCGTGCGAATAAGGCTTCAGCATCCATTCTGTGGTGTCCACGTGGAATGAGTCGCCGCATGTCACATTATTCAGGCAGTTTTGTGGTGTAACGAGCATCATTAATTTCGCTGAGGCCGCTAAAGTAGTCGGACATTTCCAGGAAGACGTAGAATAAGAACTTCCAACGCGAAGAAAAGCACGGGGAATGACACCGACGGCGACAACATCGTATTTCAATACTTTGCTTATGGACGACGGCGAGCCTCTTGCCCACACTCTATCGCACATGCGCGGCGCCGGTGGCGTCCACTAGGGGCGCTCCATTTTGTTTGCAAACATGAGTTGGTCTACAGCCAGCAGGTGAGTGACGCTTATGATGAGTTAAGAGCAGGCGTAAGGTGTATTGATTTTCTCTACTGCCTTATTTTTGAAGTAGCCTGATCTAGCCTGCCAAACCCTGCTGGCTCGTTTGAGTGCGCCGGGCGAGCTGGTGCAGCGAATGAGACGGCTTAAAAGTTAGAACGTCCGCCTCGGCTTCAATGAGTCCCGAAGTGAACCAGCGCTGCGCAAGTCATGCAAACGCTTCGAATGAAGCTAGGAAGCTCAATAAAAACAAACCATTGCCACCGCAGGCCGGAAGAGCACGGTGAACGTATCGAGTGAGAGCGGGCACTACATGGTCCGCACTTCGCTTCGACCACGCAGGGCAGCGACATATTGACACATCTGTTAATGTCACTGCTGCGCCACAACGCGGTTCTGAAATGAGCTTTGGGGTTTCGCTACTATTTGAAACCATATAGTGACTCTAGGTACAGCTTCATGAATGCCAAATTTGGCTGCGCCTTTGATCAAGCGGACTGTTTGTGTGACTTTCCTCCAATAAATGTAACGCCTGTATTTGCAAGCGGTGACAGAGCTTATATAATAGCGTGCGAATTGATACCTACAAAATAAAATTTAGAGTAAGCAGGGAGCTGTAAAAGAGATTACTGTTGAGTTTGCAGGCGACCAGAATTAGTTTCCCCTTTACCCCCTTGTGACGAGCAAAGGAGAATGAAGAGCCCGGGGTCACACCAAACAATGCTGTCGCTAAACTCGTTAATGTGGCATTCCTAGTGCTCCAACGCACAAAGCCTTACCGGGTGGGTCAGCGAGGGAAACGTGGTGGCGGATGCAGTAATTGTGCAGGACTGCACAGGCCACACTTGTGCGGCCGCACACGATAGGGGTGTACTGGAGGACCCCTCCGGACCTGTCCAGGCATCTGAAGCGGGACTTGAGGATTCCGTAAGTCCTCTCGATGACCTGTCTGGTCTTCGTGAGGCACTCGTTGTAGTTCTCTTCCTCTTGCTTCCGCGGCTTACGGAAGGGAGCCATGAGCCACGGCTGGAGGGGGTAACCTGCGTCCCCTAACATATTGCAAACGGTGTGAGATTTTATTCCAGTGTGTAATGCAATCAACACAATGTTACACCTAAACTTAACTACCTCACATTTGCCTATCGTAGCTGCATTGGTGCAACTCCCACCGAATTTGTTTTTTTTTTCTGACGGCTATGTCAGCTGCGAACGAGCTATGTGTGAGCAACACTTAACAAAGCACTCGACCAATGTTCGCACTGGTAAAGGTTCGCAGGTTTGATTCCCACTTTCTCTCAGTTTCTATGCTTTCATAACTTATTATAATGAGGTTCGCACGAAAACAGCTTGTGAACTGCATCATGATCACTTTCGACGAGATCCAATAGACTCATTTTACCAGCCAGTTTGGTTGTGATGTGCTCATTGTGCTGCGATTATTCTGTGAGCTGCAGTCCTTTTGCAGGCGTGAAAACCGATTTGGCCAGCCTGTGAGTGCAGAACGTAAAACAGTATGACCGTCCCGCGCACTGCTGCCTGCCCTTCGTGAACTGCGGTCATGGTGGCGACACATGTGCACAGAGTAGTTGGTGAGATTGGTCTACCCCAAAAGATGCTATGTACATGATTCTGGAAGGTTCAACCAACTAACCTTATTGTGTTCGCTCGGTGAAGGACATTCCCAGCTGTAGAGTTCGACTGACATGTACAGCGATAAACGTTGCTATGCTGTCATACCGTTTAGTCGTTTTTTGGGGTTGCTCATTTGGCTTTCTCGCAATAGACGCATACTCAGGTTAAAATCAAAACAAGGCTGTTTAAACAGTGTTGTACACTTCGCTCCTCAAAAGTAACAATATACACTTACTCGTTACTCGGCCTTAAAAGTAACTAAGTGCATTACTCGTTCCTTTTCTTAGAAAGCAACTCGGTAAAAGTAACTCATTACTAGTAATGCATTACATACATTTCTGATTCTAAGTGTGATAAGGCATTGTCATTCAGGCTGCTAAATATTAAATAATTCTATAAATTGGGACCAAAGCATACCAAGCAACCACCCGTCGGGCATGTCGCCCGCCTCGAACTTGTCAGCCAGGTCACAGTTTCTCCACATGAAGCTTTCGTGCGTGCTTCCTGGCCACTTCACTGTGAGCTGTGTGATTTCATTGCGGGCGTTGCAGATGGCCTGCACATTCAGCGAGTCGTAGCCCTTCCGGTTGCGGTATAGGTGCTGCTCCTTTTTCGCGATTTTCAGGGTGATGTGTGTCCCATCAATGCACCCCAACACCTTGGGGGACCCGTTGATCTCCAAGAAGCCTAGAGGTTAAACAGCAAAGATTCTGTTATGGTGCATTTTTATAGAGCTAGAACAGGTAATGCAGACACTTTTCCTACCCGAGAGAACACTTCTAGATGAGACATGCCTCAAATGAGGTACGATCACGATCGTTCAACATAATTAACTAAACAGGAAACGGAGGGGGGTAAGGAGGGGGGGGGGGCAGTGATTTTCCTTTGCCACTTTGCGTGGTGGGAAATCCTCCATCTTTCAGCCTGCATCTGCGGCAGAGAACAGCCTACACACTCATGTTGTGTGAGAGATCGGTTCCTCAGAGGACAATTTAGCGTCGCGCACGGAAAGCGGACGCCGATGGCGGAATTTTAGCCCGCAGATCCAAATACAAGGATCAGTCCGAGTAAGTGCGCTAACGTGGCTCTGGCTTTGTTAATTGCATTGAACCGACGGTCCCCACTTTGGGGAAAACACTTATCGCGTGCAGTGAGCAACGCTGCCCGCGACGTTGTGGAAAACTTGATGCCACTGTTGGCGAGATCGTAGAGCGCACTCCTCACTCCATTGATTATCCTTGAGGAGCTCGACTGGCTGATTTTTGCAACGTCGCCCACCACCGACTGAAAGTTCCCGCTCGCATAAAAGCGGAGCGCAAGCAGCACTTGAACGTCGACGGGGAGCGAGCACGAGCGAGCTGTCGGGCGTCGAAGCGCCGGCGCTAGAGCATCGCAGAGCCTCTGCACGGTTGGCCTCGGCAAGCGGTAGTAGCGTTCGAGGTGGTGGTCCGTGATCGTCTCTAATGTCCGACGAGTCCGGAAGACACGCTGCTGATGAAAAGTCCTTCTCGCATCGCGCTGCTGGTCGAGTAGCAAGGCGATGTAGGCAGCCATTTTGAGCAAGCAGTCGCGAAAATGTTCGTAAGAAGAAATGGACCCCTGTTGTAGGATTTTGTCGTAACTCACGCAAACACTGAAAACATTTTGCTTTGAGAATACCAAAACGTTCGTAACTTTTGCGTAAGTTATATTTACGAACTTTTTTGTCGTAAGAACGTTTCGTGAATCAGGCCTCTGAAGATTGAGAACCACCAATTTCAACAAACTGGGATCTTGATTTTAGTTAGCCTCGAAGCCAATTAATTATATGATCATTTTTCAAGATAGACTGTAATTTTAGAAAAAGCTTAATGTGAGACACTTTGTCAAAAGCGTTAGATAGATCAATAAATATTACATCAATTTGCCGGCACGGTTAATAGAGGTACTGAATTCATTAATCGTTTCAATAAGCTGGGTCGTGGTGGACAGACCTTTACGAAAGCCATGTTTGTTGGGACAAGAAAATGCGGTTGACTTCCAAGTGGCTTATGATGTGCTTTAAAAGATAGTATTCCATTAGCTTCGAACACGAACATAAAATACAAATTAGCCTGTAATTGCTAACTAGTGGCGGGGTCCATCTTTATGAATGGGAATGACCTTGGCTGACTTCCAGTAATCTGGCAACTTTCCTCGGGACAATGATTCTTCACAAAGTTTATGTAACATTTTTGCACAACTCTCAATGTAGCGGAAAAAAAAAGACAAAAAAAAACATTGGGAATGCTGTCCACCTCAGCACCCTTCTTAGTATCAAGGTTTAGAAGATAAGATAGACGCCTTCGTAAGAAATGTTAGGATCTGGCAGGGGATCAAAGCTGACGGCATCTGTCATACAGGGCGAATAACCATTGTCAATGGTAAAAACTGTCGAAAAGTAATCATTAAAGCTTTCCACGATTATGCCGGGATCATTGACGGTAATGTCAGATACGGAAAGAGAGCTGACGGAGTGTTTCTTCGGTGATAGGTATCTCCAAAATTTTGCTGGTGATGACTGGAGTTTGTGCAAAGTAACGCTGAAAAATTTATCTTTTTTCGTTTGATACCATGACTCTCAGTCTGTCATTCAAGTCTGCAACAGGTGCCGACTTTTTTTTAATCGCTTAATTCGTCTAGTCAAGTGCAAAATTTCGCTGTTAATCCACGGGTTACATTTTCTAGACACAACCCTACGAGTCGGCACAAATGTATGCAGAGAGTGATGAATAGTTTCCTTGACGAAGAGCCACAATTCATCAATACTTTAGTTATTCGTAAAGCACATATTTTCAAAAGAGTCAAAGGCCAGTTCAAGAACGTCAAAGACAGATTCATCCCTCGCTTTCGAAAAGTCGTAAACATAATTCTACACCCAAGCAGGCACAGGAGCGGCTCTCTTGTTAGGCCAGATGCACTCAATGATAACGATTAGGTGGTCCGAAACACCATTGAGTACACGGACGTCATATTCGGAAACAAAAATAAGGTCAAACAGGGATGATGCTGTTTCCTGTACACGTGTAAACTCTGTAACAACTTGTTGAAGGTGTCAACTAAACGCCATCTCAACAAGTATATCAGAACTAGAACAATTGGTGTCTTGAGATAAGAGGCAAGACCAGTTAATCAGAGGCAAATTGAAGTCTCCAGCAATTATTAGGTGGCTGTATTTTTTCTTGAGGGTCGACACGTAGTCCCTTAAAGCTGTAAGGAGAGCGTCACTACTGTTAGGGGGCGGTATATGACACCCATAATAAGTGCTGGAGAGTACCCTGTGACCCTAATCCAGAGTGACTCCGCGCCTGGAACGTCATCTAGGAACTCAAGTTTCAAATATTCTTTAACGATTAGGGCGACAACACTACCCCGACTCGGCCTGTCCTTCCTGATGATCGCAAAGCCAGGAGGTACAATTTCAGAGTCATTTATTTTATCATTCAGCCATGTTGCGGTTATTGCTACAAAGTCCTGGTTGTGTGCATATAAACTAGCTTCCAGAGCGTCGACTTCGTTTACAAGACTGCGAGCGTTTATGTTCAGAAGCTTTATAGTAGAAGTTTTCAATGGTCTTTACGAAATATTAACAGTCATTGTAAGTCTATCTCCAGACATAGCAGTATTTTGTCTTGTACTCAAGCTTTTTTTTTTTCGAGAAGGCAAGGTGGCACTCTCAAAACCTTCGGCTTGGCTGGTACCTTCCTGCATAGTTTTCAGGGGGCGATGAAAATTCCCCGCATCCAACCGAAACTCGCAAAACGCAGACGGAACAAATGAAGGCACACAATGCCGCCTTCTTCAGCAGTGTTCGTCTTTTTCTTGATAATCTGAAAAGAATGGGAAGATCTTCTCTCTCCCCTGTCACGCACACACAAAAAAAAAGAAGAAAAGAAAAACAACTAGCCCATTCGTTTCTAGGTCAAGCGTCCAAAGATAAACTGAGCAAAAGAGAGGGATGTTTTCTTTATTTTTTGATCGAAAGAGGAACCTTTTTTATGACCAGTGCAGTCCGAACGGGTAACAAGGCAACATCCCCAGTGCCCCTTGGAATCGTAAGATATCCTTATTTTAGTTCTAAAAGACCGGTCCCACACTTGCAACCGAGCACGACCGAGGGAAACAGGACCAGTTCTTAAAGGGGATTCAACCGCTATTTAGTTGTACCTTTTTCCTCATAGGTGGCGCAGAATTTTTCCGGAACAAACGAATTTCAAGCTCGCAGCTGCGCATGCAGGTCGGGCGCTCGAGGTGGGCTTGGGCCACGGGCTGTTCGCCGCCGATCTCGAGCTAGGTCTTCTTCACCCTGCTTCCGCCACTGCCGGAAGCGGCCAACGGGCGTCGGGAAATACGAACCAGTTTATGCGTAGATTATAGTAGCTTACGTAACGTAGAATGAGCTCTGA